GGGGGGGGGGGGCGGCCTATGAGGACCACACGAGCCCGTCCCATAGTCTCTTCACATGAGAGTCAGCACAAACATGATGAGCAGCTAGGAACCGTCCCCCAGCCCCTGTGAGACACCTGGGCAGGAGGCCATCATCCCTGGGTAAGTCAGGGCCTCTCCGGAGAAACACACACAAGGGGCCAGACATGGACAGACAGACAGACAGATAGACAGGTAGACGACAGATAGATACGTAGACGTATACATAGATTAGACCGTAGGTAGGTCAGCAGATACATAGATGCATAGATACGTGACGGACAGACCAGGCTGAGAACAGCTGGGGTGCCCAGGGACAAGGCATTGTGGGCAGAAGACGGCAGGGGACCGGGCACAGGGCGACGGTAACGCGCCTGCTGGGACACATCAGTGCTGGCGGCACAGCGACCCCGTGTGGCCGGGCAGGGCAGCCAGGGACACACAGGGCCTCTCCAGGAGTGGGGGAAGGGAGAGCTCCCCTTCCAGGCCCCGCCCCCGCCCCGGAGAGACTCTTTTGCAGCTGGAAAGCAGGTTAGCCACTCGGTACCTTTGTAAGGGCCGAGGGTGCGGGGACCGGGCGAACGTGGCGGGGGGCGGGGGGCGGGGGGCGGGGGAGGGGCGCGCTTCTGCGTGTGATGCAGCTTTGCAGGATTTAGTCTACACTGGGGACGAGGGCAGGCTTGAAGAGCTGAGATGCGGGGACGGGGCGGGCGGCAGGAAGGGGAGGCGGGGACAGGCAGGGCTGGGCCCCGTGGTGCGCCCGTCACCCCCCCCGCCCCCACCCCCCCCACCCCTGCGTCTTGCCTTCCAGCCCCGCCCGCGCCTCCAGAATGGACATGAACGTGAGCGGCCCGGACAACGCCACGATCCTCATGCTGCGGGACCCGACCATCGCCGTGGTCCTGCCCGTGGTCTACTCGCTGGTGGCGCTGGTCAGCATCCCCGGAAACCTGTTCTCGCTCTGGGTGCTGTGCTGCCACCTCGGGCCCACGTCCCCGTCCGTCATCTTCATGATCAACCTGAGCGTCACGGACCTGATGCTGGCCAGCGTGCTGCCCTTCCAGATTTACTATCACTGCAACGGCAACCACTGGGTGTTCGGCGAGCTGCTGTGCAACGCCGTCACCGTGGCCTTCTACGCCAACATGTACTCGTCCATCCTGACCATGACGTGCATCAGCGTGGAGCGCTTCCTGGGCGTGGTGTACCCGCTGGCGTCCGCGCGCTGGCGCCGGCGCCGCTACGCCGTGGCCGCGTGCGCCGGGCTGTGGCTGCTGCTGCTGGCCGCCCTGTCCCCGCTGGCGCGCACCGACCTCACCTACACCGTCGAGGCGCTGGGCATCGTCACCTGCTTCGACGTGCTCAAGTCCACCATGCTGCCCAGCGTGGCCATGTGGGCCATGTTCCTCTTCACGCTGTTCATCGTGCTGTTCCTCATCCCCTTCCTGGTCACCGTGGCCTGCTACACGGCCACCATCCTGACGCTGCTGCGCGCGCGCGAGCCGCACAGCCGGGGGCAGCGGCGCCGCGCCGTGGCGCTGGCCGCCGTGGTGCTGCTGGCCTTCGTCACCTGCTTCGCGCCCAACAACTTCGTGCTGCTGGTGCACGTGGTCAACCGCCTGTTCCTGGGCAGGACCTACTACCACGTGTACAAGCTGACCCTGTGCCTCAGCTGTCTCAACAACTGCCTGGACCCCTTCGTGTACTACTTCGCGTCCCGCGAGTTCCAGCTGCGCCTGCGGCGCTACTTGGGCTACGGGCGCCTCCCCGCCGGCTGCCGCCACGCGCGCTCGGACAGCGTGTTCTCCGCCCGGACGCTGTCGGCGCGCTCCATGTCCAGCGGCCACGAGGGGCTGGAGGAGGCAGGGAGGCCCTCGCTCAGGAGGCAGGAGAGCGTGTTCTGAGCCGGGCACCCCGCCCCCCCTCCCCCCGGGGACAGCTGATGGGACGGCTCGCACGGGCCTTCACGCAAGGGAACCGCTGCGCGTCCATGACCGTGGCGCGTGGAGAGGGTCCCCAGGAGCGCACGTCCTAAAACGGGCCACCGGCATGGTAACACCCCACGGCTTAATGACACAGGACTCAGCGTGCAGGACGCACTGGGCTCCGCTCCTCAGGACGGGGACCCAAGCTGACCACGAGCTCAGCCAGCCCACCTGAGTCCCTCTGGAGCCCCAATATCCACCTGCCGTGTTCTCTGTGCCTTTTGCTGGGGTCGCCCATGGCACCTGCTATTCCCCAGCCTGGCACAGCCTGGTGCTTTTTGTCCAGCCCACCCTGGGTCACCGTGCGTTCTGGGATTCACCCAGACCACCAGGCACAGGCCCCTTTGGGCTTGTTGCCCCAGGAGCCCACAGGACCTCCCCGCCCCATTTGATCTGCTGCCCCCAGGAGCCACCACGACAGCTTACAAGTGATTTGGTCACTCTGTTTCCTCGAGGCTCACATCCTACAAGTCGCAATGTCCAGACGGGAAGGACATCCATCCAGGAGGTGTGGCTCAGCCCCCCCCCCCCACAAGGCTTGAGGGTCTCCAGCTCCATGAGAAGCTGCGGAGGCCGAGTTTTGGGAAGGACGACGTGGGTCCGCAGCTACCGAGGGGCTCCCTGACGGGCTCCAGGGTGTGGCCTCCCCCCAGGTGCCCTCCTGCCGGTCCTCTGCCTCCTGGTGCCAGCCTAGAGCCCCTGAGCCACGTGCAAGCCCTCCCAGGCTGTGAGGTGGCCTCGTGCACCTGACCTGAGCCCTGGCGCCCCATGGTGCCCGGGCCCCGGACAAGACCACCGAGCACACAAGCCTGCAGCAGGATCACACCCAAGCCCCCTCTGTGCCCGTCCCTTCCTGAGCCCAGGACGCAGCAGTACCAGCCCCACAATATGTGCCGCTCCGGGAAGACGAGGACCCTTGTCCCTGGGGAGTCCAGGATGCCGAAACAGTGGGTTTCCTGGAGCCGGGGATCCGTCTGGAACAGCACTGCCTGCTATTTTGTTCATCACACTGGGATGCACGGCGTCGGGCTCAGGGACCCTCAGGCTGGGATGGCTGGGGGGCAGGCAGCGTCCCCACTGTAGGTTTGGCACAGATGGAGACTGGCAGCTGCCATCCGAGGGCCTCTGGCAGCACCTGCTCCTGCCGTCACTGCTTTGGGAGAAAAGCAGACACAGCTGTCCTAGAGGGAATAATGTCCCCCCAAACCCACATCCACGCAAGCGCACAACGTGACCTCTCAGATCGGGATGGCCATCAATCCAATGGCACGTGTCTTTGTAAGAGACAAAAGAGAGACAGAGACACAGAGGAGAAGCCCCGTGAAGACAGAGGCACAGACAGGAGGGACGCAGACACAAGCCCAGGGACGCCTGGAGCCCCGGAGGCTGGAAGAGGCAGGAAGGACCCTCCCCTGGAGCCTCTGGAACGAACACGGCCCCTCCTGGATCTCAGTGGTCCTGCCCTGCCTGGATCTCAGAGGTCCTGCCCTGCCTGGATCTCAGTGGTCCTGCCCTGCCTGGATCTCAGTGGTCCTGCCCTGCCTGGATCTCAGCAGCCCTGCCCCTCCTTGGTCTCAGTTATCCTGCCCTGCCTGGATCTCAGCAGCCCTGCCCTGCCTGATCTCAGTGGTCCTGCCCCACCTGGACCTCAGACTCAGGTGTCCAGAGCTAGGAGGGATCAATCCCTGTGGTTTTAAGTCCCCAGTGTGTGACAACTGTCCCCATGACACACACCATTGGTGTCACTCTGAAATTGGAGGCCCACCTAAACCTCGTCCTCCAGGTGCGTAATTTCAGGGAACCTGCTGTTTGGGTCCCAATCCCGTGGCACGCAGGGCTCTGGGCTCCCCCAGGGTCGGCCCTGGCAATTCCCAGTGCGAATGCTGCACACAGAGCCGCCCAGACAGTCCCCAATGCCACAGCAGCAGAGATTTCCCACACCACCAATGCCTTTCTGCACACTGTGCCCCGATTTTAATTCTGGAATAGGCCTCCCACGCGGACAAGGTGAGAGCACTGTGATCCCGGAGGCCTGGCCCAGAAGGCCTGGATCCCACGTGGAATCAGAATCCTGGCTCCCTGGGAGGGGCTGTGGCCCCGGAGCTTAGCTGGTAAACTGTGGGAGCTGATTCCAGCCTCCAAAGCCTCCAGGCCCCACCCCCTGTGCGTGGTCCTCAACTCAAACCCACGTTCCCACGTTCCCAACTTGGGGATGTGCTGGGGGGCACGGGCACCTGCAAGTGGAGAGCCGAGTGAGCCCCTGACCCTCGTCCTTGGGACCCGAGAGGCAGCCTTGGGGTCCCGTCGACACCCTCCAGCCCAGGCCGGCATCGGGCACAGTCCTCGTCCACCGTCTTGCAGCTGGGACGTCCCTGACGGGGGACAGTGCCTGAGCCAATCGGGCCTCACTGCCCAGCTGTGTGCAGGGGGCTCAGAGCCCCCACAGGGAGCCTTCAGAGCGACCCCTGGAGACTTATCTGGCTAAAGGTTCACTTGGGGGGGGGGCAGGGGGCTAAGGTGAGTCCAAGAAGGCGGGCGTTAGAGACCCGGATTCTCCAGAGAAGGAGCCACCACCCCCGCCCTTCCCGACTGTCCCAAACCCGAAAGCTAGAAAGCAACGTCGAGGCAGCAGCATCCAGGGTCGGAAATCCTGAGCCAGAGAGACGCCCCCACCCACGTGCTGGGCGTGGGCCTCGGTGAGTCTCATGCGGAAAAGCTGTGAAAACCTCAAACCACGGGGGCCTGTGACAGCTGCACACCTTGAACGCGGAGGAAGCCCGTCTACATAATATCCTGTCCACAGGATGTCGGGCCCTGTAGCCCTCCGGTGACTCCGGGGGTTCAAGCAACAAACGAACCTCGGACCACGTGTGCTGTGTCTGTGTGTGCCCCAGACGCGCACCCTGTTCCCCGTTAAGTATCGAATAAAAATATCACACACCTGTGCGCACGCGCGGATGAGAAATGTCTGTAAAGCTGTGACCCCAACACTGAGGTCCTGGCGCACGGGTTGGGGGGGGGCACCGGTGCGCTGAGACGTGAGACCCTGGACACCAAACCAAATCCCACCCCCCCACCCCGTGCAGAAGGTGAGTACGTTTCTCTCTCTGGCCCCAGAGACCCCTGCTTTCCAGACATGCGCCCTCTCTCCGAACCGCACGTTCCCCTACGGCCAGACCCCGGGATCTTCCTCCCATGGCGGAGTCAGGTTACTTGGGAGCCCGAGGCTGAATCCGGGCAGCGCGACACGGAGGGCGCGTGGCGTGAAGTCAGGGTTTTTGGCGCCGAAGATGGGGATTTTAAAAGAAATATTTTTGTGTAAGAGGTGTGTGTGCAAATATCCGTGCGTGTGATGATACAATGTTTGCTGTTGGACGTAAAATACCAGAGGAGGTACATGTACACGCACGCATGCACACGTACCCACATGCACACACGCACACGTACATGTACACACGCACGTGTACCCACATGCACGCACGCACATGCACGCACAGGTACCCATATGCACATGTAGATGCACGCACGCGTACCCACATGCACACATGTACATGCACGCACAGGTATCCACATGCACACACGTACACATACCTGCACGCACTCATGCACACGTACCCACATGCACACACGCACACGCACGCACATGTACCCACATGCACACACGCACACGTGCATGCACACATGTATGCAGTTACCCATGTGCACACACGCACGCACACTTACCCACATGCACACACGTACACACACGCACATGTGCACACAAGCACATGTACATGCACGCACGCACATGTACCCATATGTGCACACGTACACACATACATGTATACACACACCTGCACACACCCACCCATGCACATGCACCCACACACGTACATACACGCACATGCATGTGCAGGCATACACATGCACGCACATGTACACACACGTGCAGACACCCACCCATGTATGCTCACGTAATGCACTCACATGCACATGCACACACGCACACACGTGTAAGGCACCCACCCACGTATGCACACATACATGCACACACATGTACGCAGACACACGCATGCACGAACATGTACACACGTGTGCAGGCACCCACCCATGTACACACACATACATGCGTGCATGCACACACGTGCACGCACACATGCATATATAATGCACATGTGTGCACGTGGGCATCATACAAATTTGGGGGCCTCGAAGAAAAACGGGAAAATGCTGGTCGCTCACAACGGTTGAAGCTGGGTGAACAGAATATGGGGCCCCATTCTAGAATTCTCTTTCCTTTGAGCACATTTAAAAATATCTGTACAAAAAATGAGGTGTATTGGCAAATGTCACACAAAGACCTTGATTTCTGCCCAGTATATCACTGAACCCTGGAAACCATGTCCACTGGAATTGCAGGCTATGGAAGAGACAAATGTTCCCACCCCAGCTCTCTTTTTGTTTTTCTTTTCCTTCCCATTTTTTAAATTGCGATAAAATGAAACAGGCAACATAACATGTACCACCTGCACCGTGTTTAAGCATGTATCAAGGCATCATTGAGGCCATGGAATTCGCCCGGTGTTTAGTATGCATGCGCTAAAGGTGTCCCCAAACACAGTAGCGCAGCCACAGGACATTTGCACGGCCCCAGATGCCCGATGCCCTTTGTTCCCCGTCCATCCCTACGGCCAGCTGGATACGCTTTCTGCCTCCGTGGACTTGTTTTTCTGCTATTGCCACATCAGTGGGGTCACAGGGCACGTGGGGGGCTGCAGTGCTGACTTTCTCACCACAGTATTCTTGGGGGGCTCATGCGCGGGGACTATCACTACTCTTCCCTCTTCGTTCCGTGGACAGGGTGACCACCCCGGGCCCATCACGTGAGTCGTGGCAGATTTTGACCTCAAGCCCCAAGAAAGGTTCAGACTGGCTGTTCGCTGGAAAGCTTGAACGTTTGACCTCAGCTTTTATTTTATTATTATTGTTTTTTTTTCTTTTCATGTCTGAGCTGTCTTTGGAAATCCGTGTGATTCCGTAAAGCCAGTGAGATTCATTTTTTCGTTTTTTTTTTAAGTTTATTTATTTTTGAGAGACACAGAGAGTGAGCGGAGGGGGGAGAGAGAGAGAGAGAGAGAGAGAATCCGAAGCAGGTTCCATGCTGTCAGCCCAGAGCCCGACACAGGGCTCGAACCCACAGCCGCGAGCTCATGACCTGAGCTGAGATCAAGGGTCAGATGCTTAACCGACTGAGCCACCCAGGCGTCCTCACTAAAGGTGGGACTGTTTAGTGCCCTGACCATACCGCCAGTGTGGGCGTAAACACCAGTGAAGACACAGGGAGAGGGGCCCCTGATGACGGTAGGTCGTGTAATGAGCATGCTAGTTTCTGGGGCTCACAGATAAGGCCCAAACAGCCAGGAACGGTCATAGGATAAACCCCACACCAGGGGTCCCCCATCTGTCTCCTGCAAGAGTCCCTCATCTGGCTACAACAAGGTAGGTGCTGCGCCCATTTTGCAGAGGACAACACTGAGGTCCAGAGACGTGGAGGGACTGGCCCCGGGTCCCAGCGCTGGTGAGTGGGAGACCCTGAGTTTGCAAGTGAACCTGCCCCCGGAGCCCGATCCCGCACCCGCGGGAGACCAGCCGGGCCTGCCCACTGCTGCCTACAGCCCACGGCCCACCCCGTGACGTCACGTGTGGCCAGGCCCACCCAGCAGCGCACACTTCCGTGCACGTGTGCCTTTGCTGGCACTTGTGCGTAGAAATGACGGCGTGTTGAGGGGAACAGAAAGGTGAACCTATCAGGAGCCGACTTCCAAAGAACGTGACCAGGCGCCTAGGCGGTTCAGTCGGTTAAGCATCCAACTCCCGGCTTTGGCTCAGGTCATGATCTCACGGCTCTTGGGTTCAAGCCCCACGTCGGGCTCTGTGCTCACCGCACGGAGCCTGCTTGGGATTCTGTCTCCCTCTCTCTCTCCTAAAAATAAATAAATCAACATTAAAAAATTTTTAAAAAGTGCTTGGGATGTTTGGGGTCGGCTGTCCCGGGCGAGGCTAGCAGGCAATCAGAATGGCCATCGAGCGGCTGGCTGGTGGGGGCCAGCCCTCTGGTGACCGTAACCAAGAGAGGCTCCGTGGAAGGGTCCGGGGTGGGCCTGGGATGGACAGGCACTGGGGGTCAGGGAGGACAGGACAGGGGGTATTGGCTTAGATGCACCTGGGTAATATTCGTCTGGGGACACTTCTGGAGGTCACGACAGTGAGGGGGGCGCTCCTGGCGTGTGCGGGGTGGAGACCAGACACGCTGCTCCACACCCTACCGCGCACAGAACGCCCCACCCCACAGGGTCATCCAGCCCCACGTGTCAGTAGTGCTGAGGCTGAGAACCCCGGACCTCACAAGAGGGACTCGATCTACCTATCGATCGGTCATCTATCGATCTTCGCTGTGGTCAGGATTCTCAACCAAGGGGCTATTCGGTGCCCGGGGAAACCCCGGCCACGTTCAGGGGAGAATTTGGGTTGTCACAACTCGGGAGGAAGGTCCCGCCATCTAGTGGCGGAAACTGGGGATGCTTCTGAGGATCGTGCAAGGAATCACCCAACCCCAGAAGTCAGTAGTGCTGCGGTGGGAAGCCTCACCTCAGAAGAGACCGCGCCTGTCTGTCTGTCTGTCTGTCTGCTTACCTGTGTATCTGTATGCGGCAGTGGTTCTCAACCGAGGGCTATTTTGCCCCCCTCCAGGAGAACCCCTATCTCTGCCCCTCCACCGCCTCCCGGGACCCCCTCTCCGCGCCCCTCCACCGCCTCCCGGGACCCCGACTCCGCGCCCCTCGGCCACTTCCCAGGAAGCCCCCGTTTCCGCGCCCCAGGGGCGCTCGAGGGAGACCCCCCCATCTCCGCGCCCCTCCATCACCTCCCAGGGACCCCCATCTCCTCCTCCCCGGCCCCCAAATCCCCGGCTCCACAGGGGCCCCGCGACTTCGCGCTCCCGGAGCCCGCTCGCAACCACATCCCCGCGGGCGCACCTGCTTGCGCGTGCTGGCGCGCAGGGTACACGCCGCCAGGGGACTGGACTTGGGAGGGAGGGGCGGGGCTCCGGCATGCCTGGGCGGAAGGGGAGGGATCCGGGGGGGGGGCGGGGCTCCGGCGGGTCTGGGCGGATGGGGCGGGATCGGGGGGGCGGGGCGGGGCTCCGGCGGGTCTGGGCGGAGGCGGCGGGATCTGGGTGGAAAGAGCGGGCTCCGGCGGGCCTGGGCGGACGGGGTGGGATCTGGGCGGAGGGGCGTGGCTCCGGCGGGCCTGGGCGGATGGGGCGGGGCTCCGGTGGGCCTGGGCGGATAGGGCGGGATCTGGGTGAAGGGGCGGGGATCCGGCGGGACGGGGCGGGGCCTTGGGGGGCGGGGTTCCATTAGTCCCGGAGCGTGCGGCTTGGGCATCCGGATCCGGATCTGTGCTCGCGGTCTGGGGCCGGGCGCGGGGGTGGCGGGGGTCGCGGTGCCATGGTTCTGAGCCCGGTGATCGGGAAGCTGCTGCACAAGCGCGTGGTGTTGGCCAGCGCCTCCCCGCGCCGCCGGGAGATCCTCAGCCAAGCGGTGAGCGGCCGCGCCGGGCCTGTGGCTGGGGGTCTGCGCCGGGCAGGTGACCGGGTCTCCTGGGGCGGGGAGGCCTGGAGCGGAGGCCTGGGGCCGGGGACCTAGTGACCTAGGGCATGCGGCCGGGAGACCTGGGGCAGGTGGGCCTGCGGCCGCAGGTCTAGAGACCTGGAGGCCTGGTGCCTGGGATCCTGGTAACGGGGCCTGGCAGTGGGGGCTGGGTATTGGGGGGGCCTGATAGGGACCTGGGGCCGGGGTTCTGGTGACCTGGGGTGCCGGGACCGGGGAGGGTGGGGGTCTGGTGACCGGGGCTTCTGGTGCTGGTGCTGGGGACCTGTGTGACCAGGGACCTAGTGACCTCAGGGTCTGGGATGGGGGCGGTCATGGCAGGGAGGGGCCTGGCGCTGGGGACCTGGTTTTCCCAGGAGTCTGGTGACCGAGGGCCTGGTGCCAGGTGGTCTGGTGACCAGGGACCTGGTGACCTGAGGGTGTGGTTTGGTGACCCCGGGGGTGTCTGGTGACCAGGGCCTGGTGACCAAGGGCCAGGTAGTGAGGGGCCTGGTGACCCTGGAGCCCTAGTGACAGAGGCCCTGGTGACCGGGGTGCAGTGACCAGTGACTCTGGGCTGGGAGCTGGGGTCTGCAGACTGGAGGTCTTTGGGCCACGGCGCAATGACTCAGGGTCCTAGTGACTCAGGATAGTGGGGGTCTGTGTGATCTGGGACCGGAGTCTTCAGGCCAGGTCTAGTGGCCTAGTGGCGTGCTGGCCAAGGGGGTACGGAGATAGGGGCAGGTACACAGCCCAGAGGCAGGCAGAGGCCTGGGTCGGGGAAGGTACAGAGTGAGGGGTGCTCACTGTACCTCCCGAGGAGGGTTGTGGGTACAGACCAAAGGAAGGCTCACAGGGTGGTCCAGGGGACATGGGGGTGTAGGAGGTCAGCTGCAAGGGGGGCCTTTAGAGAGTTAGGGTCAGGATGAGGAGAGCCAGTCTGGAGCTGTGCAGGAAGGTGCCTGTGGGGTTGGAAACACCCTCTGTGTTCCAGGCCCACATTCCTGTCCCCACATGACTCTGGGGGGGGGGGTCACTCTCTACCCAAGTGGCTCCCCACTGGGGCCTGCCTTGCCTGTGCACACGGGTTTGGGGACAACGGTAAAGCAGCCGTCTTCCCTCACAGGTCCGCCCTTTGTGGCCCTGTGCGCGGGCGGTATGGTTTCAGCTGTTCATGCATCCGTGGGCGTGATGTCCTGGCCTCCGTGACACTCTGGGAGCCCTTTGACCCCTCAGAGCCGGAGACCCCACCCCACTCTCCTGCCGGGCTCTGTGTGGCCGCCGCGGGTACCTGTGCCTTCAGGCTGGTCCGCCGGGGCCCCCGCCAGCCTCCGCTCCAGGCCTTGGCTGCGCATCAGCGGTCAGTGACGAGGTGTGAGGGAGACACAGGGCACGTGGGGGAAGGCCGTGTCTCCTGGGAAACCAGGTCATTCTGCTCGGACGCCTTCCCTCTTCCCGCAAACCCTCCAGACCCCCTCTTCCTCCTGTTCCAGGGTCTCAGGTTCGAGGTGGTTCCGTCCAGATTCAAAGAGAAGCTCGATAAAGCCGCCTTCCCCACCCCTTATGCTTACGCCATCGAAACAGCGAAGCAAAAGGCCTTGGAGGTGGCCTCCAGGATGCACCAGGCAAGGGGGCCCTGCTTCTGCTTTTTCCCTGTTCTCTTGGGAGGATGGCACTTTGCCGCTTTAAACGTACATGTCACGGATCAGTGCCGTCTACCGTATGCAACCCCAACAGCCTACCCGTGGCTCAGGGTTAGCGTGTCGCATGCTGTTACAATCACTGTGGCCGTGTCCTTGCTATGAGCCTCCATAATTGTCGTTAACGGAGGAGCGTCACTGACGGTAAAGAATCAATACAGGTAGCTTATTACCATATGCCAGCATGTAGCCCAGAATTTCAATTAGTGTGGTGATATCATTTACAACAAACAATGAACACACTGTGTCTGTTTCTGTGTCTTGCTGTGTAATATGCTATTGTAATGAACGTAACAGCATCATTTATAACACACTATTTAACAGAGCTTGTCTATGGAGCGTAGATTCTACGCTATATGCAGATACTGTTGTAATTAAAATAATAGCATCATTAACTCCTATTTTGCAACAGCGTCACTTATTATACAGAACTAATGTAGATTATCCATTGCTTGGTATTAAAATAATATACTGTTGCCACTAATGTCCTATAGGAAGTGCTTTGTGCCCAGTGCCGTATAACAACCATTGGTATAAATAGAGCAGTATTGACCGATTGGTTTTCAGCAGTGGAAAGGTCAATATGTTAAGTTTAACCTAAGTTCAACGTTCTATACAGACTTCAGATGCGTGTGTTCAGCCCCAAGCCTGAATTTTCCACTTGGATTTATTTTCTTGTCCGGAGAACTTTTTTCTCAAATCACATTGAGCAGTTCGAAAAACCAGTTTTTGTCCTTTTTTTTTTTTTTTTTAATTTTTTTATTGTTTATTTATTTTTGAGAGAGAGCACGAGCAGTAAGGGACAGAGAGAGAGGGAGACAGAGGATCCGAACGAGGCTCCAGGCTCTGAGCTGTCAGCACAGAGCCTGATGTGGGGCTTGAACTCACGGACCGCGAGATCGTGACCTGAGCTGAAGTCGGATGCTCAACCCACTGAGCCATCCAGGTGCCCCCAAACCAGCTTTGTCTTTAATTCAGCATAGCTTGGGGAGGACTTGGGGCCCTAACCCACCTCTCCTGCAACGGTCCCCTGCCCTGAGGGAGGCGGAGCCCATGGGACTGGACACTGATGTTTGCAGTGCTGTCCCTCAGGTGTCAGGGAGGGAGCCGGCAGGTGGTGTCCCCATCATGTGACCACAGAGCACCTCCAGGCTACAGCCCCCCACACGTCCTGAGCCCTGCAGGGCAGGCCTCCTGGGGTCACCCTCGTGTCCTTGCTGGGGACACCGAGGACACCCACATCTTCCTTTCCGAAGTACCACCCGTCTCACCGCCAGCGTATTTGCATAAGACACACGGGTGTGATTTCCGAAGCTGAGTTTGCATTTCTTCCAGAAAGACCTCCGGGCCCCCGACGTCGTCATCGGAGCGGACACCATCGTGGTGAGTCCCCCTCGGGGCCCTTTTCTGGCCTCCAGTTTGGTTTGTGTGCCCTCGGTGACTGAAATCAAGGTGTGGACATCGCGGCTTCCACAGATCCGGCTTGGGGACAGTGAGCGCCCCCCGCCCTGGTTCTCTTGCAGACGATCGGGGGGCTGATTCTGGAGAAGCCAGCGGACAAGCAAGACGCGTACAGGATGCTCTCCAGGTGGGTCCCGGACTGTCCTCCTCGGAAGCAGCCTTGCCTCAGATACAGTCTGGGGCGGGGTCAGGACCTTGGGCGGAGTCAAGGTCTGAGATGGGGTCAGGGCCTGGGGTGGGGTGGGGTCAGCTCTTCTGTTGTGGGTCCCAGGGGAGGGTTAGGGTCCAGGGTGGGGTCTGCCTTCTCCGCCTGGGGCAGGGTTACGTCCCAGCCAGGTACCTGGGTCGCGCCCTGAGTGGGGTCCGTCCTGGGCCTTCCCGGCCACTCTTTTGGGTGAGATCAGAGGATGCAGCCTCGCACTTAACGCGGTGCTCACGCCCCCTAGGGGGACAGGGTCTCGGGGCAGGTTGATAGTCTGCACAGGTGCGCAGGTGGGCAGGGGCACAGGCAGGGAGGCGCACAGACTGGAAGGCGGGCAGGCGGGCTGGTTGATAGTCGAGGCAGGTGGACAGGCGCGCAGGGAGACAGGCGTGCAGGCGGGGAGGCGGGCAGGTGCGCAGGCGCGCAGGCCGGGAGGCGCGCAGGCGCGCAGGCGCACAGCGGGCCGGCAGGCAGCGTCCCTCCGTGCCGAGCACCGCCCACCACGCGTCTGAGGGTGTCTCCGCGCCTGGGCCCTGCCCTGTCCGTGGGCTAGCATCCCCGTGCCGCAGGGACGCGCACAGACCCTCCGAAGAGCGGGTGGCAGGGAACGTGCTGTCCCACACGCTCCCCGTGGACACACTGCATGTGGGTCGTCCGTTGCAGGTTGAACGGGAAGGAGCACAGCGTGTTCACGGGCGTCGCCATCATCCACTGCTGCAGCGAAGGTACCTGCTGCCTCCCCAGGCCCGGGGCCACCGCGGGAGGAGCCGGGCGGCCTGCCGCCCCGGGCCCTCTGTGTCCCGCCGTGAGGGCCCTCCCCCGCCTCCTGCCTGCCAAAGTCTGGGCTGCTTCAGGCCTCGGTTCGCTTCCCGCTGAGCACCTGTGAGAAGCGGGGTGCCCCGACCGGCACGACCCACACAGGTGCCGCCTTCAGTCCAGAAGGGGCAGGGGCTTGGCTGTGCAACCTGAAATCCTAGGAACACGGGGGCGCCCGGGGGGCTCAGTCGGTTCAGCGTCCGACTCCGGCCCAGGTCATGATCTCGCGGTCTGTGCGTTCGAGCCCCACGTCGGGCTCTGTGCGGACAGCTCAGGGCCTGGATCCCGCTTCGGATTCTAGGTCTCCCTCTCTCTGCCCCTCCCCCTGCTGGTGCTCTGTCTCTCTCTTTCTCGACAATAAATAAACATGAGAACAAATTTGTTTTAAGCACCAAAATGCTGAGGACTCGCTGTGTAACCCGCTTGGCAGAAGGTGCCCGCTGGGCTGTGGCTGGCGCGTTTCTCACCTCCCACCGAGGCCGGAGGTCACCCCGAAGTTCAGTTCCCTACAGGGACACCTGAGCCCCCCACCGGCCTGGGTCTCCTCCCCTGATCTTGTAGCTTTGTTTTCCCCGCTGTTCACCATTCCCGCCTCTCCACTAGCTGTTCCTGCCCGAGTTGTCTATCCCCAGGCCCGGGTCGGATTTCCCGCAGGCGCCCAGCCGTGTGCCCACCCCGTGCCTTGACCTGCCCCACCCTTCTGTGTTGCAGATGGCCAGCTGGACACGGACGTGTGCGAGTTCCACGAGGAGACCACGGTGAAGTTCTCGGAGCTGTCCGAGGACCTTCTGTGGGAGTACATCGACAGCGGGGAGCCCATGTGAGTGCACACGGGGTCTCACCGGGGCGCTGATCCCGGCACGGCGGCTGCAGCCTCACGACCGGACCCCCTTCTGGAGGCCCCAGCTCCTAACACCGTCCCCTTGGGGGTTAGAGCTCACCCTACGAATTCTGGGGGGACACAGACATGCAGTCCACGGTGGTGCGCTTATCGTCCTGATTTACCGTGGGGGCTAGGCCCAAGAGTGCAAGCAGGGCCGGGCTGAGGAGGTGACCTGCCCGGTTCCAGGGCAGTGGATGAGGAAACAACTCAAAGTGGGAGAAACAGTCAGGCCCTTCGCCCTGTGCTGCTGTCACGGGACTGGGAGGCCACACAGGTTAACACGCCTGCTCCCCCGTCACCCCGGAATGGGGCCGGGCCAGGGCCAGGTGCATGCATGCAGGTCGCGGGGGGGGGGGGATCTCATCGCTGGGGGCGCCCAGAACCAAAACCTTGTGTCCTTTTGGGAGCCTGGGGTCCGGGAGGCAGAGGAGGGAGGGCGGATGGAAACCACGACGTGCCAAGTCGGGGTCCAGGAAAGGGTCTTTGAAGGCCCGTCCTGTGTCGCCAAGGAGGGGTCCACAGAGGCTCCTGGGCCAGCAGTGCAGATGTGGACAAGATCACAGCCGGGGTCGGGGTACTCCCTGCGCTCCCCCCCGGGACTACCGAGCAGCCCTCGCATTCCGACTTCTCCGTATCTCCCTCCTGCCCCGGTCTGCCTCCTTCCTCCCTGCGCAGGGACAAGGCTGGCGGCTACGGGATCCAGGCCCTGGGCGGCATGCTGGTGGAGTGTGTCCATGGGGACTTCCTCAATGTCGTGGGCTTCCCGCTGAACCACTTCTGCAAGAAGCTGGTGGAGCTGTACTGCCCACCCCGCCGCGAGGACGTGCAGCGGGTCAAGCACGAGTCCATCCCTCCCGTGGACACCTTTGAGATCGCGAGCGACGCTGCTCAGGGTGACGAGGGCTGCGGCCCCAGCAGGGCAGGGGTTGACGGTCACACCGGACAGGCTCCTGCTGGCCCCCAGGGCCCAGACACGAATGGACTGGTGGAGAACCCGCCCCCCTTCCCGTCGGACCTTCTAGACCTCATAGACGGCTTTAAAGCATCCAAGGTACTGGTCTGAGTGTCCTGGGCAGGCAGTGCTGAAGGAAGCCACCCTGACTGCTTAAAACCCCTGGGTGTGTCGTCTCCCAGCTCTGGAGACCACAGTCTGAGATCCAGGATGGGCAGGGCCGCTGAGACCCAGGATGGGCAGGACCCCTGAGATGGAGGCAGGGCAGGACCCCTGAGATCCAGGAGGGGCAGAGCTGCTGAGATCCACGATGGGCAGGACTTCTGAGATCCAGACAGGGCAGGGCCACTGAGATCCAGGAGGGACAGGACCACTGAGATCCAGGCAGGTCAGGGCCCCTGAGATCCAGGCAGGGCAGGGCCGCTGAGATCCAGGAGGGGCAGGGCCCCTGAGATCCAGGCAGGGCAGGGCCCCTGAGATCCAGGCAGGGCAGGGCCACTGAGATCCAGACAGGGCCAAATCACTGAGGTCCATGCAGGGTAGGGCCGCTGAGATCCAGGCAGGGCAAGAGCACTGAGACCCAGTTGGACGAGACCCCTGAGGTCTAGGCAGGGCTACTGAGGTCCAGTCAGCAAGGCCGGTGAGATCCAGGCAGGGCAGGAACACTGAGATCCAGGCAGGGCACGACCCCTGAGATCCAGGCAGGTCAAACCTCTGAAATCCAGGCAGGGCAGGACCACTGAGATCCAGGCAGGGCAGGGCCACTGAGATCCAGGTAGGAAAGGACCACTGAGATCCAGGCGGGGCTGTGCTGCCTCCAGAGGCTCCAGGGGACGGTCCTTCCTGACTCTTGCAGCTTCTGGGCTCCTGATGTCCCTGGACTGGTGGTCACGTCCTTCCCGTCTCCACCTCCGCCTTCCCGTGGCTTCTCCTGTTTGTCTGTGTGTCCTCTTCTGTCTCTTACAAGGACACCTGCTGTTGTCCTAGGGCCACCCTGATTCAGGATGGGCTCATCTCACATTCTTCACTTACTCACATTTCCAGAGACCTTGTATCCAAATTCGGTCCCGTTCCTAGGTTCTAGGGTTCAGACTTCAGCATATGTTTTGGGGCCCCATTCAGCCCATTGCAGTGTCCCCAGTTGGTTTTCTGCCTTCAGTCAATGGCTTGACACAGAGCTGGTGACTTCTGGGTCCGAGAGCGTGTGACCTGACCTGCCAGTCTGCTCGTCCTGCGTGGAATGTGGGACTTGTGCTTGGGGCTGTGAGGGCAGAGGCCTGTATCCCTCTGGGACGCGGTGTCTGGGGTGTTTGAAGGTGAGCTTCACAGGACCCCACCTGGGGCCGGCGGTGCACCCCTGACCGGCCTCTCCCGGCCCGGGAGACGAGCCCAGGTGCTGGGCCACCCCCCAGGCCGGGTGGGAGGTCACCCCCTGCCCGGAGGGATCTGTGGGTTCCTCCCGCTGTGGCCTTGGGATTCGAGGCAGCTGGCCCAGCCGGAGAGTGTCCCAGACGGGGTGGGAACCCGCAGGCTGGCTGGGTGCCCGCGGGCTGGCTGGGTGCCCACGGCCAGCAGGTGCCCGTAGCCACGGCCTCCGTTTCCTTCCTGCGTGCGCGGTCACACACCGCCCAAGAAATAGCCAGCTGCCCATGCCCTCCGGGCCAGCGCAGGGGGGCAGAAACCTGCCCGGCCACCCTGCACCGTATCTGCCGAGGACGGGGCTGGCCACGGCCGTCCCTGCGCTCCCGTGGGCGCCCGTGCACACCCGCCCGGCTGTGTCCTCTCATCTCCGCACCCCCTCGCTGCCCCACGTGGCCGGCCCTTCCAGCGGCTTCCGAGCGACAGCCCTGCGTGGGCTGGGCGGGGCTCCACGTCGAGGAGAGGTGGGGATGTGGGTGTGGGACTGGTGACCGCCCCTCCCCGCTCCAGCCCCGGCCACGCGCCTGTGACGGCGTCACCAGGAGAGAAGTTCTGGGGTCAGGAGGGAGAGGTGGTTCTGCTGTGCTGTGCCCAAAATGCCTAAGTCCCCCGGGAATAACCATGCGCACCGTGTCCCCACGTGGTGCGGCTGTGCCAAGGTCCCGGCACCTACCTGTGTCCCTCTGTGGTCTGTCCGCCCAGCCACCTACCTCCACACGTAGCCTCGCAGCGTCCCTCACCGGTTACCTGCCCACCTGCGTAGCTGCCTTCAAACCATCCACCTGTCTGCCTGATCTAACATCCACCCCTTTGTCCGTCTACCCACCTACCCGTGTTTCCTTCCGCGTACCTGTTCCATTGCTCTCGCAGAAAGGTCTCCCGGCGGTCAGCTGACCCAGCCACGGGCCGTCGGGAGTCAGAGAGCACATGTCACGTTGCCAGTGCATCGTGAGAGTTGTAGAAACAAGCCAGCATTGTCGGGCCCTTCATGCAATGGCGTCACTTGTCGAAGAAGGTTTCTGCGTGACCGGGTGGGGGTACAGGTGATGGTGGGTGAGACCCCTGTCTGTCCACAGAAGGCCCCACATGCCTGATCGAGACGAACAACGGCAGTGCCTTTGGTTTCACACTTAAATGTTCTTAGTTCTGAGGCCTTTGGAAGAGCAGACACGCCCCGCACGTGAAGAAGGTTTTTGCATTACCCGCGTGAGCATGTGTCCTGAGCTGCATAGACCCTCTGCTCCTGAGGACAGGCATGTTTGTCTCCAAATCCAGCCACGTCCTGAGGTCCTGGGACGTAGGGCTTCAACCGCTCGATCTTGGGGGGGGAACACAGTTCAGCCCCACATACGAACACATTGGATTTTCTCCCATGGGACGGTTTTTCTCCTTGATATTCACTGATGTGCTTTTGTCTTGTGTGAGCCCTGTACCCGCTGGAGCCTGCATGCAGTGTTCTCTGGAGAAGAAGCTTCCATGCACAAGTTAAATAGTTTTCATAGCTGTGGCCTCCAACTTTTGGGTCTGTGGGAGCGAAAGGCACTGCACAAGTCACGTCGTAAGTCTCGCTGTTCTTGTTTTTAACGGACAGGCTCTGTTCACGGCTTGCAAACTGAAGGTGTTTGATGTACTGAAAGAGGAAGGCCCCCTGAAGGCGGTGGATGTTGCACGCAAAATTAACGCCTCTGTGTGTGGAACTGGACGGCTCCTGGATGTCTGCGTGGCCCTGGGATTACTGGAGAAGACAGACACAGGTAAGGGGACGTGCGAAGTCTCCTGATGAGAGTCTTTGCAGCTGGAAGGAAGTCATCCAGTGAAGGTGGCTTCTGGGCCAGGGCAGGGAAGGCCCGGCCATCAATCCTTCCGCCCTCAGAATGTGGCTTTTCATTGACGGTAAGAAGAACAGGATGAGGGAGAGGAAACACACAACTGTGTGTGTGGGTATGTGTCTTTCAGAAGAGTGGTTTTTAAAAAAGTCTGTATTTATTTGACAGAGAGAGGGAGAGAGCACAAGCAGGGGAGGGACAGAGATAGAGGGAGCGAGAGAATCCCAAACAGGTTCCACACTGTCTGCACAGAGCCAACACAGGGTTCGATCTCATGAACCGTGGGATCATGACCTAAGCTGAAATCAAGAGTCGGGCTCTTGTTTGAGTTTTTTAATGTTTATTTATTTTTGAGACACAGAGAGACAGAGTGAGAGCAAGGGAGGGGCAGAGAGAAGGAGACACAGAATCCGAAGCAGGCTCCAGG